CACAAGATGTTCTGATTGTTGCCGAGCTGTCGAGCCTAGGGAAACGATCAAGAATTTATACATGGCAAGACGGAATATCCATGCAAAGTTCAAAGAATCTCGTTGGTCGAACAAATCGTAATTCAAATCCCTTCTCCACAGCAGCCTTACCCTACAACCATAGCATCATATACTAGGAAAACGAACCGAAAATAACGTCCGATGATCAATAAATTTCTCCTCAGTGGTCATCTAATATTCTGGTTTCGTAGTCTTCCGCTTTTTATGCATCTGAGGATCATTTCTTCGAATAATGGTTTCGTTGTTTGAAGGGATTAGCTGCACGAATGGGCAGGAATGAGTATTGGACCAAATATGAATATGAATGTGAATGTAAGTGAGTTTGTCGCTATTATCAGCGACATCTTTTACATCTTTAATCAACGTGCTTTCGTGCAAAAATATCATAGCTCTGAAGGGGCACCAGACGAACGTTAGCATATTTTTTTCAGAACAGAGCACCGTTCCAGCCGACCATGGAGCAGAAACAGTTACTGCTTCTTCACGAGTACAAATTGTGCAAATTTCAGCAAGAAGATAGCATAGTATCTGCCAACATCAACCAGGCTTGGGGTCAAGGAACCGTCCGTGACCAATCAGAGTTGCTGAGCAATGATGATGTTCGTTTGTTGATAATTCATGAGTATCTACGGGACGTGTCAGCCGCTGCAGCAACCAGAAGGATCAAGCAAGCATGGGGTCCAGGAACAGTCTCCGAATCCACTGTTGCTCAGCGCTTCCGTCAGTTTGAGGAGGGGAACTATTCTTGAGACGCGCGAATTCAGTATTGGAGTCAGCCAAGGCGCAGTCCTCAACAAAATCGATATTAATCCCTGTGGATTTCCATGATGTCGGATTTGAACTGAGTTATACTGAATTGGAATAAACCTTTTCTTCTGTTTGCCTGCTATTTGCATATTGTCCTATTCAGGGCTCATCAAACATTGACCTTTTTCTGGTTCATTTGTTGGCTCTTTTATAGTCGCTATACTTGATTTCGCTTTATTCTGTCTTCACTTTCCTACTAGAAAGTCCTTGGCAGTCGTTTTCTGACTGTTTCCCCTCTTTTGCATAACTTATCCAAATATTAGGGGAAAGGCACAGTGGCAAATGACAGATTTTTACCGCACGCGATTAATCAAATTCCGGTCCTGATTCCGCTCAAACCTATCTGCTTCCAGAACCGTCTGGAAGGATTAAAACACTGTGCACGTCGGCCGATCCCCGTAAGTCATCTGATTAGAAATCGAATGAGTCCCAGAACGGGAATGACGAAGTTTCTCCGTTTTCATTAAATTATTGTATATCTGCCTTGGTCCAGGTATCCCGTATTGTGCTCTGGCTGAAATGCGTCTGTTGGTGGCAAATAAATGAATAAACATATAACAACTAGGCAGTAAGCCGAGAGCGAAAATTAAGGACTTACAGCAAGCTCTTATGGGTTCCCTTGACCCTTTCCCATGCTTGACCACAGGAATAACAGTCGCGCTTTCCTTCGTTGTCTTGTGCTCATGAATATTACACAGACTGTAAGGACACTTGCTGAACCCTTCGTAAATGACGGAATGCAGAAGATTCAGAATAGTGGACTCTTTACAAGGGTAGTATACCGTCTTTCCTATATCCAATTCTAGGGGTAAACCAATCTGCGTCGGCGGGAGGGAATCGCCATTGAGGATCAAGTATCTGTTGGAGAACCTTCTAGAAGGGGGTTGAATATGTTCCTCTACAAAAGAGATGGTCCTTTCAGAAGGAGTCAGTGGACAACAAAATTAGGACAACGTGAATGCAGGAGAGGAGTCTGAAACAGAGATAATGAAGTGGTGATGTGAATGATCAAATTTTGTGAGAATACTTCTCATACGTTATGCCTTAACGTGCTAAAGTACACTAAAAATTGAGAATTGTAAGGTGACGCGCGCGAGCGAATTTTCAGCTATCTATTAGGTTGGCTAATAAGTAATGGCCGTTTTTTTCAATTGAAAAATTTGTTCGAAAAGTGAAACGTTTTGCAAGCAAGTTATATATCATCTGATAGGAAACTTCTCGTAGTATAAGAATATCAAAAAAGCTTTGGTTGAGGATATAGTTTTTGTGAATTTTTTAGTCGTTGAAGTTGGAAGTGAAGTCGGCGAAAAATTAGCATCTTCGACAACTGCCTCTATTTACGTCTACTCGAAGTGCTAAAATCGCTTAAGCTGCTCCATACATTCGGAAAAGGTTGAGGTAGAAGTCTCAGCAAGGGAATCTCAATAGGACGCTTTGGAACTAATTTCAAGAATTTCAAAGTTGGCAACCTTCACCTTGCCAATATTGGGCAGGCTCACGTCTGTTCCACCTGAAATTTCATGCTAAATAGTGATAGTTGGAATGTGAATTTGATAATTGCTATACTACGCAAAGTTTGCTATTTACAAAGATATTACTATGCTTGCAAAACATTTGATTTTTGGAACGAATTTTACGATTGAAAAAAACGGCCATTACTTATTAGCCAGCCAAATGGGCTTTTTCAATTGAAAAATTTGTTTCAGAAGTGAAAAGTTTTGCAAGCAAGCTTAATATCGTTTAATAGCAAACTTCTCGTAGTATTAGAAAATTCAAATTCAATTAATTCAACTATTAGCATGAAATTTCTAAATAGAGGCAGTTGTCGAAGATGCTAATTTTCGCCGACTCACTTCCAACTTCAACGACTAAAAAATTCACAAAAACTATATCCTCAACCAAAGCTTTTTTGATATTCTTATACTACGAGAAGTTTCCTATCAGATGATATATAACTTGCTTGCAAAACTTTCACTTTTCGAACAAATTTTTCAAGTTGAAAAAAAACCGCCATTACCTATTAGCCAACCTAATAGACCGTATCAGTGAGATGATTCGCTGCACCTGGGGTGCTCCCTCTAGGGTGCTTACACACCTATCTCTATAACTTTTCTCGACACCACTCCGTACGTTATTTTAAGAATATTCGTGACTCATCTATCTGATGGCATGTCAGCGATTTCCCTAACGAAACTGGGGAGCAGGGCAAGCGCAAGCGAAAATTGGGGGGTTGGTACGACCCATCACCCACACTCAAGAAGGGACGTCCGTACGACGCTCCTCCCCCCTCAGTGACCGCGGAGTGTATGTAGGTATCTGCTGTGTTCATCAGGATGTAGCTGTGCATGTCATGTGTTATGGAAGTCTTACCGAATAAGTATCTGAGTTTCTGGGAACATTTACCAAACTAGTTGTACAAGCACTAAAAACAGAAAAGATTAGTTTTTTAGAAGCAGGGTAATGGACAAGGGACTAGGAAAGCTTACAGTGACGCAGTCCGAAGGAAACTACTCGAAGCCGAAGGCTGAGCTTACTGCGACTGCGTCGCATATTGAGATTGGAGCGCTAACAGCCTATTGCATTCACACAGTATACACTGGTGTGCAAAACTTAGGGACGAAAGCAACTTTCGATCACTGTGCCTCTGCCAGACAACATAGCTCGATGAAATTCATATCATATCAAGAGAGAACCTTAACGATATTGTACAGAAAGCAACTGACAGAAACTCGGAATAAGACGAATTGTTATGACATTTTTATTCAACCATGTCGATTACACATAAGTCTTCACGATTTATCCTGGTACTACAAAAGAAGTTACACGGATCCTAATAGGGTGTGTGATCACCACGGACAGCAATACATGCTCTGCACCGCGATCCTATACTCTACACGAGGTTGGTAATGAGTTC